GAAAATAAAGCCTTAAGCATTATTAAATTGGGTGTTGGGAACTAAGGTCTCCTTGCCTTTCCATATAATAGTAAGCGTAATCTTTTAAAAATATAAATGAGATTATATCATCCTCTTGCTTAAAACTCCCCAAAGGCTTTCTATTACGGTTGATATACCGTCCAATCTTCTTGCTTTACACTGAAAGCCCTAGATCATGCATTTTCAACCAGGATGATATTGCCCACAAGGGAGAGAAAATTGATCCTTGTCTGGGAGGTAAAAAAAAAATCTTAGCTATTACAATGGTTTGTGGTCCTTCAAAGCTCAACTATATCTGACAATATCATATACCTTAGAATTTAATTACTCTCTTTAAGTTTTCATGTATATCATAAGAACAATATTGACATGGACTTCATGGAAAATATACAAAATGTATGCAAGGCCAGTGCTACAAAACCATGGCAAACAGATGGCTGTGATTGGAGGACTTTCAATCCATTGCTCATTTCTGAAGTAACGTCATGAGAAGTGGCCTGTGTGTGCCTATTGGCTGGTATTGACTGCCCTTATATTTTGTCCTCCACACCCTTGCATGTGAAAAAAGTCAGTGATTTACGAATGAATATCTAGCAGCTAGTTAAAACTTATTTTCACGTATCAAGCAAAAGTTAAAACTCTAGTTCACTAAGAATATTTAAGAAATTGATTTTTTTCAGTTTGTTTGCTTTTCTGGAAAAATAGGTTTTGAATTATTTTTAAAAATTTGATTATATTGATATGTACATAAATTGCTAATTTGCATATGTAAATTGTATACATTATAATTTATGTAAATAAATGAATGCCACCATACGTTATTCAACAAATACCGTTGTTAGATGTTAATATTTTCCTAATTTTTAATTTAACACCTATTTTCAAACTTTACTTATTCTTAACCCTACATAAAGCTTATTTTTATGTGTGTATGTATGTATCTTTATGTATTAAGCACATATACGCATGCATTTACTAAATAGATACTTTGCCATTTAAGATATTTTTGATTGCAAGTAATAGAAAACCCAGATTCAAGTTGCTTTAACTATAAAGAAATTTCTTACCTTGTTTATTTGGAGTCAAAACTAGGACTCAGGGAATGATATAATCAGAAGCTAAGTTAAATGATCAAAGGGCTCAGAGTATTTCCATTCCCTCTTTTGTTACCTTCATTCTGCTTGTTTTGCCCTCAGGCTGGTTACAGAGATTCCAAGAGTCATACACAAACATAGCATTATCCTAAATAAGAAAAAGAAACATCATTTCCTGTTTCTCTTTCTTAAGAGTAAATAGATTTGTTACAAGTCACCCAGTAGACACATTATCATGTTTAATTGGCCAGGATTAGATCATATGTCAAATACTAAACCAGTCACAGGGAGAATGACATAACCATGATTAGCTTATAGTAACCTTTTAGAGTGGGATGAATATTGGGAAGTTAGTGACCATGACCACCTACAAATACAAAATGTGTCACTAGAACAACAGTCTCCCCCTTTTGCTTAGCTTGGCTCTGATCTCTGCGCTGCTCTCATCCTCAGTCTCCAGATGATGGTAAGGTGAATAGAGCAGCCTGAATCCCACATCTTCTCAGGTTCCCTCATGTCCATTGAAAAAGACCATCTACCTCATATTCAAGAGCTTCGAGAGCTTATGCAAAATATCATTGTGTCTCGTTGGCTTTGACTAGGTTGGGGGCTTAGTCCTAAAACAATCTTTTTAACGGTATTTCAGTGCTCTAAAAGGTCAGACTTAGCTTATTCACAGAAGGAAAATGGGGACACTATTACCAGAAGTGTGATTGGATGCTAGGCTGCAATACTAAATGATGTTGCAATTCAACACCTTTTGCTGCTCATTTTCTATATAAACCCTTCTGGCCATATATACACCTTCAAAAATGTCTCCACAAAAGTATTCTTTCATCAATTGCTAATGGAATGTGAATTATTACCATCCATTTGGAAAACAGTTTTGCAAAAATAACTGCTATTTTAACTTTTAAGCCAATAATAGATCGGTTTGACTATTTTTTGAAATTTAAATAAATTGCGTAGAAAACGATGTGTCCTTTTGTTGTCTTCTTTTTTTTTCAACATATTTGTGAAATTCATTCATGTCGTGGCATGTCGTTGTAACTTGCTCATTCTCAGTCCTGTACGATATTCCATTGTATGAATATACCATAACATATTCAGTCTACCATTGATGAAAATTTGGGTGGTTTCTAGTTTGTAGCTATTAGAAATAGTTGAACACATATATTTTATAATAAAATATAGGGTTTCAAATTAATGATAAGAGACTAAGTAATTCAAAAGAACTTTCTCATTAAAGAAACAATAAAAGCTGGAAGAAATAGTTAAAATAAATCTACTGAAAGTCATCTGAAAACCAAGAAGATAGGAAATAATTACCCAGCCAAAGTATGAAGGAGAACAGGTACAAGAGATAAACAGTCAATGTGTTGGATGTTTTTTCCACTGGGGAAGTTTATCTATTGTGGAAGGGAACTGCTGAAAGGCTTAGAAGTTCAGGAGAAGTTATGAGTTCCCGTTGAAGCTAAGGATACAGAAATTGGAGTCTGGAGCCCTGGTAAACCTTCTTCACCTTTCGCTGGGACTCCAAAGGTGATATCCCAGGAATAAGGGTTAACCAGAACTAAATAAACTCTTACATGAACTAAAGTGTATCTGCAAATTGCTTTCCATAAAAAATCGTATGAATTTTCATTTAAATCAGGACTCTGTGTATGTATGTATGTAAAGCTCTTTCCTCATGCTCAATGACATTAATATTTTAAAGTTATTCCATATTTTGTTGAATCAATTTTTTAACTGATTTTATTTTTCCTCTGAGGAATTATTTCATTGTTTTAAGCTTACTTATCAAGATGCACCCCATCACCAGATTCAGATACTATAAGTATTAAACATTCATAGTTTACTGGGTTTTGGGTTTATTCATTTCCTTTCTCTTTAGTTTTATTTTGCTGAGTTTAAAATTTTCATAAATGAAATATTGATTTGGGAATAAATTTAGTGTAAAAATTTCCCCCAAATATTTAAAAAATCTTTGTAGCATTCCTTAAAGAACACCCAATATTTCTCCACTGATTATAAAACTGTCATTTTACCTAATTGTTCCTTATAAAGTAATTTTTTCCTAAGCTTTACTTTCTGGTAAATAGATCACATTACCAGTTATTAAATAGATATATTTTCCCAAATGTTCAGTAATGAGAGAAAAGTTAAGTTGTGGTCACTGTAAAATTGAGTTTTATAGACCAACTGCCAGATATGGAATAGGTGCTCAAGAAGTATTTGCTGATTAAGAGAATTAATGTTTTAAAAAAATCTAATGTCATGAGAAAATGTTTATTGTGAGAAAGAGCAGCTCATAAAACTGTATATGCAAAATGATCCCAGTTTTGTAAGAGCTTAGAAAAAAATGGCAAAAGAAATGATAATTAATATTTTGCAGTGACTCCAAAAGAATGGGAGCAGAAATTGCAGTTGATTAATTTTTTCATAGAAAATTTCTGAAATTTACACAGCGATAACATTGTGCAAGTAAATCATTTGCAATAGACTAGGGAAAAGAGAAAGGCAGTGGTAATCTTTAAGAAGTAAACTCCAAGAATGACCAGTCTAGAGATTGGGTCAAAACGGCAGACTGAGAATTAGCACACTTCTCTCTTCCTACCCCAAATCTTTGCAAATGACAGGTAAGACAGATTTATGTGTAAAGAATAACCACATAAGGGCACTAAAAAGAAACGAATGAATTCCTTGAAGATGGAAAGCAGATGGGCAGGGGCATTGAGAGTGTGAAGGCAGAGGTGAGTACAGGAGCCAAAGGACCTGATATGGGGAGAAAGGAGAAGCAGAATTGTGGGCACAGCTGCTCCTGATTTTGGAAAGAGGCGGGCAGGAGACAAGGAATACCTCCCATGTCAAAGGCAGTGGTGGGCTTGAGAGTTGGGGGCGGGGGGCACGCAATGTTTGGCAGGAAGGGGAGGCCTTTCTCCTGGCAGGAAGCTGCGCTACGGAAAGAGGGAGGAGACTGCTGCTGCAGTAGCTGCTGGTGGGAGCCCGATGTGGCAGAGGGGCCGCTGCCGCCGACAGGGAGGCAGAGGGCCCGCGAGCCCGGTGCTGGAGACGCAGCCGCCATCCTCCTCGCCTGCCCCGCCGCCCTGCTAGCGCGCTCCTCGCCCGCGCATCCTCCCCTCCCGGCTCGTGCAGGCGCCCGGCTCGGCGCCCGCTAGTCCTCCTTCCACACAGGCTCACGGCGAAGGCTGCAGCGAGGTGTCCGGTCTGGGCACGTGAGGCCCGCGATCCCGGCCGGTGGACGCCAGGTAGGCCGAGGCCATCGGTGGGCGCCGGGATGGACAAGGGAGATGGGACGGACGCCCGCGGGGGTGAGCGGGGGAGGCGGGCTCCCAGCCCCGGCTGGGGTGCGAAAGTGCGATGGGCTATAGGGAAAGCGGGTGGCGTTGGGGGGCGGGCGAGGAATTGAAGCGACGGCGCCGGGTGCCGGGAAAGCGACCGGGGCTGGCAGGGGGCGTGTGGGCAGCAGGCTGGCGCGTTCCGACCCGGAGGACACTGAGCGCCTGCGGATGAGCGCCTGCGGGTCGGAGCCGGCGAGGGGCGGGCGCCGTGCACGGCACTCAGCGAGGGCGGCGGGGGCAGCGGGCTTTGAACAAGGAGGCAGCGCGCCGGCTCTTGCAGAGTTCCGGAGCCCAGCCAGCGCCACTGTCGCCGCCGCTGCCCCTCACCGCAGCCTAAAGGCACCTGGGGGCAGAGCCCTTGCGAGCGAGCGGCCAGCATCTCCAGCTCCGCTGCCACGCTCGCTCACGGGGAAAATCCAGGTGCCGGCAGCGCGAGCTTCGCAGCGACGTCGCTGTCCCGAGAACTTCTCCCCGTGGCATGCCGAGTGCCCTCTTACCCCCTCTTGTGCCCTCGCCCCTCCTGCAGGCATGAAGACCCCCAACGCACAGGAAGCCGAAGGGCAGCAGCCCCGGACACCTGCGGGCCGGGCCACTGGGGCGGCAAACGTGACGAGGAGAAAGACATTCCAGAAGAAACAGAGGGGCAGACCTTCGTCTCAGCCCCGCAGGAGCATTGTGGGCTGCAGAATTTCACACGGATGGAAGGAAGGCGACGAGCCCATCACGCAGTGGAAAGGAACCGTTCTGGACCAGGTGCCTATAAACCCCTCTCTTTACCTGGTGAAATATGATGGGATCGACTGTGTCTATGGCCTGGAACTTCACAGAGATGAAAGAGTTCTGTCCCTTAAAGTTCTTTCCGACAGGGTGGCATCGTCTCAGGTCAGTGATGCAAGCCTCGCAAATGCCATAATCGGCAAAGCCGTGGAACACATGTTTGAGGGTGAGCATGGTTCCAAGGATGAGTGGAGGGGGATGGTCTTAGCCCAAGCCCCGATCATGAAAGCCTGGTTTTACATCACCTATGAGAAAGATCCCGTCCTGTACATGTACCAGCTTCTAGATGATTATAAGGAAGGAGACCTCCGTATCATGCCAGAGTTCAGCGAGTCTCCTCCAGCGGAGAGGGAGCCAGGAGGAGTTGTAGATGGCCTGATAGGGAAACACGTGGAGTATACCAAAGAAGACGGCTCCAAGCGGATTGGCATGGTCATCCACCAAGTGGAAGCCAAACCCTCTGTGTATTTCATCAAGTTTGACGACGACTTCCATATCTATGTCTATGATCTGGTGAAAAAGTCCTAAGCCTTAGGGCGAACTTGGCCGCACGGGTGGAGACGACCGTACGCTTCGTGGACATGCAGAATAAAGTTGCTTTGCAGTGTACTGGAAGCGTGAGGGTCCCTGTCGATCCGACACTTTCGCCAGACACTTTTGCCAGCGTAACTGTTGTTTTGTTCTGAAAAATACAATCGTATGTGGGCACGACGAGTTGTGTGCAAGGACTTTCTCGCGTTGGAAGGATTGGGTGTGTTTAGTGGACGGGGCACGAAAGGAAGGGACAGCTGTAGATTCAGGCTGTGAATAAAGTTCAGCTAGTCTCATAATCGGTCATCCAAAAATGGAATAGGACTTAGCTGGTGTGGTCCAGGGAGGGGGAGGAGAGGGAACTAGAGATGGGCTGTGGGGGAAGGGAACAGGGGAGGTGATGGCTCAGGAAGAGGTGGGGAGGGGCCAGAAGTAGAGAGGCTCCTTGGGGAGAGGGATGTCCCCAACTGGGAGGAGGTGAAGTGGAACAGAGGGGGAGAGTGAGCTCTTGGGGCTTAGAGGAAAACAGAGAGAATACGTTGAGTAGAGGGGGCCACAAAGAAGCTTACAAGAGGTCCAGAGCAGGGGGAGGAGGCAAAGTGGGTAGGCAGGCATCTGGGAGAGGCTAAAGGGTCACTTGGAGGGAGGGTCTATGCTCCTGTAGGGGCCAGAGGCCAGGCACACTGAGGAAGGAGGAATTCTAAGAAGAAAGAGCGACGAAGGGAGTGAGAATACAGAAAGAGCTGTGGGGAGTGGGGCACGTGGGAGAAGGGAAGGCCCTGAGAAAAGCTGGGCTCCTGACAGCATCCACACTGCTGTCCCCGGCTCTGGCCACAAAAGACGGGGCAACCGTCAAAGGAGCCAGATGGAGGGCAGGTTCCCGAGAGAGGTATTTTGACTCAAGACTTAAGCAGGAGCCAATTTACACCTCAGACACTTATTTCAGGGAGTCCATGCCACGCCTGCAAAGCAGAGTCCCAGCCCTCAGCCCAAGCACACTAAGCACTGCCCTCCACAACACGGTGCTGGGGCGGCCTTCTCACGACTCCCAGAGGACTCAGGCGCAGCCAATCTCGGACCCGAACGTCCCGGTCCA